AACGTCAGCCTCGCCACATAATCGTCATGAATGATCTTGGACTAATTCATAATACAGTTCACAACTTCAACACTGCACTTGGAACTCACTGGCCCCTTACATTGCAATGTTCCAGACAGGTCTCTGTACACAGACACAAATGCCCATCTTGTGCATCTGCACGCGGTGCACCTCATTGGTCTTAGCTTTTCTTAGTATTCACTGACTTTGCGCTTACTTGGAGGCTCACAACATGACGACTTGCTTTGGTTTTTTAGTGCATCACTGCTTCATTGAGAACTTACAGGCTCACAGCATCTCTGCCTTGACATCTCCTGTCTGCTGTCAGAAAGCCATGTAGCTTGTCGTGGATGCTAACATTAAATGGTCAATGGGATGAACATATTGCTGTACAGTACCATGACACTTCAGTGTGACACCTACAGGATGTGTCAGCAGCTTGTACAGCAAACACATGACCATTTCTGAATGTCTAAGAGGAGCAGTCCACAGTTGAATGAAGGGGACTAAGGTCAATGCCACTGCATTCAATGAAGGGCATCATCTGATCTCAATCTAGGGTTTTGGCCATAATCAGTCAAGTACTTGGTATAATCATTGTCTGGAGATCAATATCCTTTCCGTCAGGGATTGGGCCACAGTCCTCCAGGCTAAATCCAACCAGTACAGCTAGGTGAGTTGAGGAGCTGTGAAGACATCAGTAAAGCAGCTGGACTTTGCTTAGTCAGGACTGTCATCAAAAATTAATGCAGAGGTTGGTCAACAGTCAGTCCTAGGGTTTGGGTAGTAAACATCAAGGGTGGTTATTAGGAGGCAGTCCATGTTGTATCGCTTACCCTGGGCAGCAGAAGGAACAATCAGTGTGAAGGGGGAGCAGCTCTAGATACAAGAGTGGGATCTGATATAGCATAGGAGGGCATATTGTACTGCTGGAGGGATTTTCTTTTTGTCCTACCTTGGCTTCAGTAAGTACTGCATTGTAATTGTGGGCATGGCAAAGTGGGAAGCCAAGGGCTGAGGGGAAGATTTGGGGATATTGACCAGTAAGTAAATGTTGGATGGGAATGTTGGGGAGCCTGCAAACTGGTGGGAATGTTAGGGATGGCTATACAAAAGGAAGCATGACGGATTAGGGAGGAAGCTTGACCATAAGACAGAGCCTGGAACTCATTCACAGGACCATGTATTGGATAGTTTGCCATTTTTGATCAAACTGTAACTGCACAAAAAGGAAGAAAATGCCTGCCAATACATTCCTAGTGGATGGAAAACTTTTTTTCTTGGTTTGTGGGTACAGGGTAGACATGCTTCTGCTATGATGAAGAAATTGGATGGTAGTTCAGCATTGGTCATCATCCATTCTTGAATGAGTGTCTGCTGTTTTATTAATCACATATCTAGAATGAACCAATATCTCCAGAAAAGTTAATGATCATGCAGTTTCAAATACACAAGTGACTGCAAGTCTGGAATATGACTGGAGACAATGACCTATTTCAAGACTTTAATATTACCATTGGCCTCAGGTATCTGAAGTGCTAAGTCTTGCCTGGACTTGCGAGCATAAGGGCTAAATTCTGCTGCTATTCAGAATGCATCTCACATCAGCAACGCCTTGCCAATACAACTTTGGAGAGGCTGACATTGTAGCTAGGTAACAAGGTTCAACACTTAAAATAGCAATTGATCAAACATGTGCTGATTGAAAGTGCATATACATTTCCAGATGTGAAAGTCTGCTTACAGTGATGTTGCCCACGCTACCTATGCTTCTTCAGAACAATTTTTTCCATCCCGTACTGTACAGTAGAAATAATGAGCCATGTGCTGCTGATTACTTAGGATCCTCAACTCTTCTGCTCCTCAGCCAGTAGAATGTGCAGTGAATTTCTTGTGATGCCACACTTTGATTTCTTTTTCTTGCAAACTCAGCCTGGTCCCAGGCAGAGGTATCTTCCACATGTCCACTTCTGTCAGTTTCTCAGAGGAAAGATGGTGTTGTCTATATGTCTCTGGGTGCTGTTTTCACTAGCTGTTCTAGATTATTTTAAACAGTCTGTCTCTGGTGTTCCTCCTTTTGTTTTCTGTGTGACATCTTTTCTAACCAGGTACTTAACAAGCCAGTGGTAATCCTTCCCTTGGGAAAAGAGCTGATGGCCAATCAGAGGCTAATAGCTCTTCTGCACTGAGTAAGATCTACCAGGGAAGTGGTGGCTGCTACTTCTAGTACACCCACCTGAGGCTTTGGATTAAGTAGGGAACCAAGCATAAGTGGCTGATAGTATTAAGGGGGGTCACAGGTAGGGTGCCTCAGGGGAGCTGATCAGCAGCAATAGCTGTCATCATACTACCTGATGCTGGATCCCTCAATTGGGCACTGAGTGCTTTTGAACAAGGGGCCATCAACCCAACTCCTGGAGCCTGCAGTCAAACAGACTGGAGTTCCTGTTTTCTGCTGGCTTGATACTAGCAGCAGGAGGATAAGCCCATCAATGGGCATAATTGGCAGTGGGGTAGGATGCCCATCCATGAGCTTTCTCACCCCAGAACCAATCAGAGTAAGTATGAGAAAATGGGGTGATCCTGAGCTGCCGTGGTCCTGCACAATTTAACAGCCCCCACTATCAAACCCACCATGTGGGAAGGTTCAAGATTCCAATCCTAATTGAATGGTTAAAAAGTGGCTATTTGTGTGGCTCAGTATTTACTGACACCATAACTTCTGCATTTTCTATAAAAATCTGCCAAACTTTATGGACTGAAAAGTTATCTCTGTGCTCCTTCAATTCTGGCCTCTTGATCATCAACATTGTCATGCAGCATTTTCCCTCAATGGCTTTCACTCTTCCCATCCCCTCTTAGATTACTAAACGTTCCTGTTGTCTGTGTTTATTCCTTACTCACTCACTGGGAACACCTCACCACCTTTCCTGACTGAGGATGGACTAACCATGCTCTCCCTTAACTGGAGTAAGAACTGCTTTCCATAAACCTTCTGACATGGCCATTTGGTTGAAGCATTGTGTTTGCTGAGTAATCTGCTGTCACAAACTGCAGATGTGACATTTACGTAGCATAGTGCAACACACTAACACATACATTACCTTGACTGTTCACTGCTGGCAAGCAGGTCAAGCTGCCTGTGCTACAAGGTGAGGCACATATTCTGTGAGAAATCAAGTGAGCACAAAGTGAGTAGTACTAAGCAAGGAAGCTAAGAGTCCTATAAGGCATTCTGTTCCATTCCATGAGATGGATGTCAGACCCTGCAAGCAAAGTGGACTGGAAGAAGCGTTGCGGCATTGGTTAGCTCCAACATGCAGTAGTAAAGTGCTGAATTGGATCATAGGTTAGTCTAAGATGTGCCATGCTGATATGGTGAGGCTGTTGGATACAGCCTTTCGTTATCTATGGAATTTTTTGTGTATTCATTCATGGGACAAGGGTATCACTGCTAGGCCAGCATTTATTGCCCATCCGTAATTGTCATTATTAGACTCTTAATTCCAGATTTGAATGAATTCAATTTCCACCATCTGCTGTGGCAGGGTTTGAACCTACGTTCCCAGAACATTACCTGGGTCTCTGGATTAACAGTCCAGTGAAAATATCACTAGGCCATTGTCTCCCCAGCATGTGCCAAGATTTTAGGAAATGCTGGCCAAGATGGTTGTCTGGAGAAGACACAAGAGCTGCAGCCACAAGGCTATCACTCTGACTTTTAAATCAGGGATTGGCACCATATAGTTTCTCTCCAGTACATGTCACAATAACAACCTGCATAAAAATGAAGTGAAATTATGCAATGATGAAATGTTAGTGCTTGAAAATATGGCCTCACCCACTCACTTGTGAGATTTTCAATGATCTGTTGAAACCTTAAATGGAAGATTGGGTTCTTCTTTCTCAACATCTTGAATCTTGGACGTTGGACTTAAATGTAGGGGTACATCAAGAAATTCTCAGATGACATGATAAGATGGATAAGATTGGGTTATTTTCTTTGGAGCAGAGAAGATTGAGGGGGAACCTGATAGAGGTGTATAGGTTATGAGGGGCATGAACAGGGTAAGTAGAAAGCAGTCACTTCCTTTAGTTGAAGGGTCAATAACAATGAGGAATTATTTTAAATTGAAACACAGGAGTTTTAGAAGAGATTTGAGGAAAAAACTTTTTCACCTAGCAGGTGAAGGGAATCTAGAATACACTGTCTGGGAAGGTAGCTGAGGCAGGAACCCCACAACCTTTAAAAAGTACTTGGATGATCACTTTAAATGTCATAGCATTCAAGGCTATGGATCTAGTGCAGGAATGTAGGAACAGTGTAGAGCAATGAGTCTGAAGGACCACTTCTTAATTGTATGATTCTATGACATGAAAATTGGTAGGATGGTAGATAGTGAGGAAGATGACCATGAATTGCAGGAACACATCAATGGGCTGGTCAACTAACAAACGGAATTCAGCCTGGAAATGTGTGAGGTAATGCAGTTGAGGAGGACTAACAAGTCAGGGGATTAAACACTGAATGGAAAGTACTGAATATTGGAGAGATCCTGTTATGCATGTCCACAGACTCCTGAAGGTAGTAGGGCAGATAAATAAGGTGTTTTAGAAGGCATAGGATATACTTGCTTTTATTAGCCAAGGCATAGAACACAAGAGCAAGGAGATTATGCTAGAATTGTATAAAATGCTGACAAAGTCGAGAAGGGCTTGGACAAAAGGCTGTATATCTGCTGGGAGTGTGCAAATGGGTTGTAAAATACCTCAGTAGTGTCAATTGGTTAACAGAAAAGTATTTTTTCTGTAGTTTGGTGCACTGTGTTATTTGCTTATTAGGCATTGTTTAAACTGTGATTTTAGTTTGTTCCAATAAAAGTCTTAAAATAGGAAAGCTTATCACGTGATTATTTCCATTGGTCATTGGGAAATTCATATCTCTTTTCAAAGGTTATCAGTCTCTACAAGGATTGTAACAATGTTCTTTTTGTTTCCAGAATGTGGGGATGTTATAAATGCTTCAAGAGGGCAGATTGTTCTGGAAGGATACCCCAGTAACTCTCACTGTGAATGGACAGTGTCAGTGAATTCCAGTTTTGCTATTGAATTACGGTAAGTTTACTTTGGCTTGTTACATGTAGTTTTTGATTTTTTTTGTACATTTGGCACAGTTGTGGTTTATCTTTGAGGCAGCACAGTTGGTTAGTTTGAAACTGTGTGAAGTCTTTAGGTGAGAGAATATTGTTAAATACTATTATATCAGTATTCCTGGATCAAAAGCACAGTTTGCAGTTCATCTCAGGTATGAAATATTCTGGTTCAACATAGCTATTTAGAACTACAAGATAGCTATCTCATGAATGAACTATCAGTGCCATCTTCTGTTTAAAAAGAATGCTGCCAGTTTCTAAATAATTCAAAGCTTCGGAAGTGTGTTTTAATATCTGAACCTTTAATATTCCAATTTTAATTCCTAACAGTGCCTTAAAATCACTCTCTGGTTTTGCCTCTCTCTATCTCAGTAACCTCCTCTCTGGGATACTTACTATTTCTTAATTCTGGCCTCTTATGCATCCGTGATTTAAACTGCTTACACCATTGGAAACTGTCTACAGCTGCTTTGACCCTAAACTCTGGAATTCCCTCCTCAAACGCGTGTTTCTATAACCCCCTCCCCACCAACTCCTCTTTTAAGACACTGTCAAACATAGCTCCTTGACCAAGTTTTTGGTCTCCTCTTGTAACATTTCCTTATATGCCAAATTTTATTTGACAATGTTGTCCAAAGCATTTTGTAATGCTTTACCAGTTTAAAAATGCCAAATAAATGCCAAATAAATGCAAGTTTTTTTTGCTGTGTTAGTGGACCTGCTGATCAAATGCAGAGTGACTGACAGTACTGCAGCACTTCATTAGTAAGCTCTTTACTGGTTCAGTGCATGCCCGCAAGGAACCCTGCTTTCATGTGGGAAGTGCCAGCAAGGAACCCGCTGACATCTACGGAGTGGCACCAGTGGCCCACTGCTGTCCTGGAAGTAATGTACATAAGGAGCCTATCCCTTTACCATGGGAAATAGTGCTTGTGTATCTGTCTGTCACAGAAAGTTGTTGCTCAGAGTGTGAGCTTGCTCTGTTTCAGATTCTCCATGCTGAGTCTGGAGTTCGATTACATGTGTCAATATGATTATGTGGAAATCCGTGATGGCGATAACATTGACTCCAGGGTTGTTGGAAAATTCTGTGGAAATGAAAGGCCTCCCCCAATCAGGACTACTGGGAGTTCGTTACATATTTTATTTGTATCTGATGGGTATAAAAGCTTTGATGGATTTTTTGCTACATTTGAGGAAGTTGACGGTATGTAGCCTTTTAGATTTAAGATCAAGTATGGCCTCACTTTTGTGTCTTGCTACATTATTTGTTCACCCAGGATCATTCTGATTCAGGCATTCTTACTTCTTCCAATTCATAACTTACTGCTTTATTTCTCATGTGCTGGTTTCTCCTTCACTTTTTTTTTACTTTTACCCCTTTCTTCTTCACTAACCTTTACCTGTTTTTCTTTTCTTCTTGACGCTCTCCTCCTCACTTGCTCCTTTTCTCCTCGCCTGTCCCAGCCTACTGACTTGCCTTTGATTCTCACTTGCCGTCATCTCTCTTTCTATGCCAGTTTACTGTAGCCAGGTTGAAACCATTGAAGGTGAAGCTTCCCATTGCTGCCGTTAGCTCTTCTCAGGCCCTGTGTTAATTTTAGGGTTCATCTTGCAGGCAAGAGGATTCCTTAGGCACATTTGCAGAAGCCCAAATCCTCCCTGGTAGTCAAAGGAATTCATGCGGCACTTAGGCCTTCTTCTTGTTCTGCCTAGTGTAGTGAAAAATGGGATAAAAATGTTGGCCTAGCCAGTGATTCTGTCATCCCATGAACAAATCAAAAAAACAAGGTTACCTATTAGGAAGAGGACCAAGGCAATGGTTTTGATTTTAACTCTGTCTTTTCCTTCACACCAGCCCATGCAGAAACAGAAGGGTGAAAGGTTTGAAGTCCCACATACTTGTTTCAATCTTCTGCTTAAACTTCAACTTACCCAAATCAGGCCATTCACAAAGACAGCAGAAGTAGCGGGTAATTGCCTAAATTAGCACACCAAAGTATTGACCTGATGGCGACATGCAAATTCTTTGAATATCAGGGAGGTCTGTGTTGTCAGCTGTGGGTGATGTAACTGGTCAAGGTCTCCTGGAGTCTAGGTCTCCTTCTGGATTAGATGGAATGGAGAACACCCCTCCCCACCACTTCAACCACTACCATCCAACCTGAGCACTCAGGAATCCTTTAGCCTAGCTCCTTAGCCCCAGCACTCAGCTCCAGTCTCAGTGAAACCCTTGTTCACATGCAGTGCTCTCCTTCCATGGATCATGAATCTCTAGTTGTTATTGCTACATTTTCATCACTGTCTTCCAATGAATTCTGGATTATTCCCAAAGTTTCTTTTTCCTGTAGTCAGCAGAGAAATATTTAAGTGATCCTGTCCTCTGCTAACAGACTCACCAATAATGCATGCCCTCATGTTAATATTGAGGCCTGTGAATATGAGTTAAATCTGATGTGACTGAAAGTCATTAGCTGTTTGATGTTCCCTATTACTAGGAAGAAGAAGTTAAAAGGTAACCTGGCATTAAAGGCAGCTCTCCCAAGACAATTGAGCTGATCGAAATGAAATGGCTGAGGTCATGATGAAGCTTCTCTCTGCTGATAGATTGTTTCAGGGATCATAGCTCAACAGCACCACTTATAGCTGGCTGGCAGTACTGCAGCATTTTTCATCTCAGGAAACCTCAGGAAAGCAGAAAGAGCGGAACATGCAGCCGCGAACCTTTAGAAACATTTGAACAGCAATAGGATATTATTTCCCTCCAGCCCTTTTTTGCTGTTCCATGCATTCAATTCTATAGGTCTGTAGGCTAACACCACATACGGACTTGTCACCAAAATCACCCAAAAAACGCACAGTCAACATAAAACCAACAATCTTGGATGTAAAATTTACAATTAATTTAGAATCCGCTGCCAATCTCTAAAGAGAGTTTTAAACTTCTACCATTACACTTTATCTGTAGATGTTTTACCTAATTTTGCTTCGAATAGACCCGGCTCTCATTTTTAGATTACACCCCTGCCCCTCTATTCTGGTCACCAGAAATAATTTCTCTGTAACACAGACAGAAACATAAAGTCATAGTATCTGTGGCAAAAAAAAAGTTAACATTTCAAATCAATATGGCTCTTCTTCAAAACTCTTCGCAATCTTTTACATCCTAAATACTTTGATCAAAATACTTCGTTCTGTTAAGCAACACAAACCTTGAGCAGAATGTGCCCAGTCCCTGAACAATGTAGAAAATGGTGAATCTGTTGGGTAAACATGGTGACATCACCAGAAATGAGATTGTCAATGTCAAGAAAAGAAAGCCCAGTCCTGTAACTATGTTTTGAATAGCAAGCTAAGAATCTTGCTTGCGATCAGTGAGGTCTATTTGCATGCATTTGCAGGCCATTAGTACAAAATCTCTTCGATATGTGTTTTCCTGTTCTCCCACGTGCCAGAGAGAAACTAGACTTCGAAAATTCCTGACATGGAAGTCAGAGCGGGTATCGGCAATTCCGGCTTACACTTGCCCCCCAGGGCCTCCTAAAAAACAGTTCTGCACCCCAATTCTGCACTTTGGAGAGCTCTGGCACATTTCATTGTAATGCTTTTGACAGAACACACAGCATGCAGGTTCAAACACCCACCCAATGGATTGGACCAGTGTGCATCTCAGAGCTCATTGCTTCCTCTCAAAGCACTCACTCATCTACTTGGATTCTAACAGTACTTCTGCCTTGCAGCACAAACTCACAACCAGGCAGCTTGTTATGTTTGTGATCAATCAGTTAAGGTGGTAGCCGTACAGCATGTGCTACATCAGTGTTATACCAGCATCATGCCCAGCAGTGTACAAGGCATTCTAACTGCATGTGCTTCAATCAAATGACCAAAGCTCAAAGTCGAAGGGGCATTAATCTTCAGTACGGCCAAAGGTGGCAACTTCAGTTCGAACTTCCTAGCATAGTAACCTGAAGGTATCATCTGATACTATCCAGGGGCTTGGAGGTGGTCAGTCTCAGTTTCTTAGGGTGGTCAGGGAGCCCTCTACAGTCTGGGGAATGGGCCACATTAAGTCCCACAATCAGTCTGTGAAAAGTTGGGTGAAGTAATTTGCAGACCTGCACAGAAATCAATCAAGGGTCAATTCATTCATCAGTTGGTGCTGTTTCTCAAAGTTCATTGCGGAATTGGCCATGGGCAACCCCGGGGGTTTGTTCGCTGAAAATCACACAGGGTTATTTGGAATACTTGTGTGGTAGAGAAGCCGGGGCTTCAACTGTGGGATTGGAGCCAGCATGCTGAGATACTGGATAATAATTGTGAAAAAAGGGAGATTAAAGAACATGGAAATAAAAGGGATCCTGTGGTAGGATGGTCATTGACAGTCTGCACTGGCCTGTCTTTGGTGGGGAGAAAGTGCATGACCACCTCTGTCATGAATATCTGGGGTCTTGGGGTATAGTAGGGTGATCAGTTAAATAAGCGGTTTAAATGAGAACCTGAGGCAGATCAAAACCAATCAGGTTGACAAGGAGGGCAAGGAAGAAGAGAATGTAGGTATTAACGGGGTCATTAGACTGAGAGGCAGAGCTTGTGACTCATTCCGTGAATTGCAACAGCTGTTGCCTTTCATCCTCATCTAAATGCAAGTGTGCAATGGAAATTAAAATGGGCTGACAGCACGCCCAGAATGGGTGGAGTCAGTGTTTCATCCTGTGAAGAAAGGGAGTCAACTTCCGTGTGATGTAAGGCCCTTCAAACGGTAATAGCATTAAACAGACACCCGCGGAAGATGGGCAAAAGACATCAGAGATCACAAAATATGTGCACCTTTTGTGTGGACCCCCTGCTTTCATTGAGTAATACAGCACAGAAAGAGGCCCTTTGGTCCAACTTGACCATCACGACCAGGTTTGCTAAACTGAACTTGTCCTATTTGTGTGCATTTGACCCATATTCCTCAAAATCTTTCCTATCCATGTACCTGTCCAAATGTATTTTAAATGCTGTAATTGTATCCACCTCTACTACTTCTTCTGGCAGGTCGTTCCATATGCACACCACCCTCTGTATGAAAAAGTTGCCTTTTGGGTCCCTTTTGAATCTTACCCCTCTCACCTTAAACCTATGCCCTCTAGTTTTGGACTTCCCTACCCTGGGGAAAAGACTTTGGCTATTCACCTTATCAATTCTTCTCATGATTTTATAAACCTCTATATAGTCACCCCTCAGCCTGTGATGCTCTGGGGAAAAAAAGTCCTAGCCTCTCATTATAACTCAAAACTTCCAGTCTTGGTAACTTCCTTGTAAATCTTTTCTGCATCCTTTCCAGTTTAATAATGTCCTTTTTATAGCATAGTGACCAGAATTGTAAGCAGTACTCCAAATATGGCCTTACCAATTTAGAGTAAAGCTGTAGCATAATGTTCTGACCAATGAAGGCAAGCGTGCCAAATGCCTTTTTCACCACCCTGTCTCCCTGTGACACCACTTTCAAGGAACTATGCATCTGCACCCCTAGGTCTCTGGTTCAACAACACTCCCCAAGGCCCTACCATTACCTGTGTAAGGCCTGCCCTGGTTTGTCTCATCAAAATGCAAAACCTTGAATTTATCTGAATTAAAATCCATCTGCTTTGACTAAAAATCCTGGCATCAGCATCCTCGATTGTATCAAGAACATTGCAAATATATCCTACTAGTGGCTGTGAGGCACAAGCAATAGTTTGCAGTGTGGAAAGATTCACCCATGTTTCCAAAGTGGAAGTGAATTTACAAGGTTCTATCGACTCCACAAGGTGCAAAACTTGCTCATTTCACATCTTGGACCACAAAACATCCACTCCACTGTCCTTATGTGCAATGCTGCCCTTCTGGGCTACTGTCAAGATTGTTTGTGGCAGGAGATTTCCTCATTGCTACCGCACGTACAATTTCCTAATGTATGTGTACCTTGTGATTAGTCAGGCTTCAAGTTAATCAGGGTTGTTTTGTACATAGGGATGCATGCAGTTCATGCAGTTACGCATTATATGGCTCTTAGCCTGCTTTCTTAGTGCTCACTCACTCACTTTGCACTTATTTGAAAGCTGTCAACCTTCATATTATGTATTGAATTTTAGCACAGAGGAAGAGACATGTAGTTTTTCACAATCCAGAATACTAAACAAAGGAAGAGAGTGGCATGTTGCTGTACCGTGTTGGCACTATGTTATGTTAATGTAACACTTATGGCATATGCCATCGGCATGACAAGCACATGCACTTCAACAAACTGTCCATGTCTGAAGTTAAGTGACCTAGTCTTTAGTTGAGTCAAAAAGACTATGGTCAGCCTGGGGACACTGACACAGTCTTTCAAGAAACTCAACTGATTTCACTCCAGTGGTGTGTCCATGGTGAGTCTAACATATCATGCAACAGTCCAGGGATTATAGGTAACTCAGTCAAGGTGCTGGGAAACATGAGTGGGGAGTCTGGGCTCATTTTTCCTGCAATGAGATTAAATGTGGGATTGAATGTGATGGAATTGGATAGAAGAGGAGTTAGTTTTGATGTAGGAGCAGAAAGGTAGTGAGGTGTCCCCAGTGAATGAATAGGAATCACAACAGACAGGAAAGGTTAATAGATTAGTAGGATGAGATGGGTGACAGTGGATATGATGGCATGCAATATCATGCATAGTTCATAAGCCATAGTGAGAGGGTGTGCAGCAGTCAGGTTATCTGGAGTAGTGACCCTGTGAATATGACGAAGTAGACAGAAGATGGTGGCAGTGATACTTATGAAGAAGAAATGATTATTAATAGTTTTCCTGCACTTCAGTGCATTGCTTTTACCAGGTCTAGGCTTACCGGGTCTGGCTTCCCTTGTTGGTCAGCAGGATTAAGTCTGCCCTTCTCTCTACCAACCTGTCCACCAGCACCTTCAGATCCCAGATGACAAACTAAGGAAGTAGCATGCCTTTCTGGGCCATTTCCTTGGGGCTAATATTGTAGAACAATAGAATAAGGGGAAGTCCCTGGCTTTCAGTGTCAAAATGTCTGGAGCTGCAATTTAAATATGGCACCAGCTTCATGAATGTTGTACTTCTGCCTCAGTTTCCATGTGATTCCACAAGCTCCTTGCATACTTAATGAGATGAAGAGAAAAAGACTGTGAGAAAAAATGCTTTGGGCCAGGTCAGGCATGATGACTCTCTCTAGAAGAAATACTTCACCTAAATTTCACCCCATATTGAGGGAGAGGAGAATTGGAAGGAGTATTAAAATTAGATGAATCTTTAATGAGATGCAAATACGTGGAAGTATGATGGACACCACTCAGTGGCAAGATTCCGAAGTTGCCATTTAAGGTTTGGTAGGAAATTTGGTAAAATTTTTCTCAATGTTGAGAATCTGATTGTTTAACTCTTCCTGTAATTTCCCACCTTTCTCTCCATTGCCCACACCTCAGCAGGGACAGGCAACTTCCGCCCTGTGACCTCAAAAAGGGGAAACAGTCTTCTTACATCTACCCTGTTGAACTCCTGTTGAGAATTTTGTGAGTTTCGATGAGATTCACTCTCATACTTGCAAACTACAGAGAATGTGAGCCAGTCTCCTCAAAGTCGTAGAAGGTAGTTCCAGACAATCTGGACCAAGACAGCTGATTTGCTTGGTTGCCAATGCTGGGATGAAGAAAGAGGAGTATAGCCAAGAGGCCAGAATTGGATAAACAGCAAGTTCCTGTAGAATTTCAGAGATTGAGATTAGTGAGGCTGTGGAAGTATTTGAACAGAATGATAACAATTTTAACGTTGAGGTGACAGCAGATTGGGAGCCAGCGTAGATCAGTGGGCATTCAGTGATTGATGAGTGGGACTTGCTATGAGTTAATTTTTGATCAGCAAAGCTTTGGATGAGCCCAAATTTATAGAAGGTGGAAGAGGGGAGGTGGCTAAGAGAGGTTTGAGATTGAAGATTTGAGAATGAGCAAACTGAATTGTGAATGAGGGCTTCATCACTATTTGGTCCAAGATAAGCATTAAGATGGGAAATATTATGTTAATGAAAGTAGGTAAACTTTTAAAAACCAGCAAAAGTTAAGTAGACACCATATACAGAATCAGAAACTCAATTGCACTAAGTGTTGACCTATCTAGACCAAGAGAGCCACAGATCTGAATGTAATGGAAACTGAAACGTTTGCCTGTCATTTTTTTTTAGTGTGCTCCTCATCCCCTTGCTTACATGACGGACTGTGTGTCCAGCTCGGTCCAGCTTACTATAAGTGTGCCTGTCTAGCTGGGTATACAGGCAAATGGTGTGAAAACAGTGAGTATTAATATTGGTGCAAATGTTTAGTGTGTGGGTATATGTTGACTAGAGCAGGAAACAAAGCAATCCTTTTCTAGAGCATTTCTTAAGAGTTACTTTTAGATTTTTGTGGGCTACATTTTGATTTTCAGTAATTGTTTTATTCAGTGCTGTAGTCACGTAGTAAAATTACCTTCAGTATTTATGTTGATGCAGAACGTACTTGGACTCACAATGAAGTTGAATGAGAAACATTAATTAATATCCTCAATGATTATAATCCCATTAAACTGAAAGCTACTAAAGCACACGTTTCCAAGACACCATATATTTAAATTGCCACAGAACAAAAGGGACAAGTTACTATTCAAAGATTTCTTTCACAATGACTGACATTTACCACAACTTACGAAAAGCTATGAGAGTACACACAGTTTCCTCAGACTGGGGAGGTCTCAGCTAATGTGTTTCCATCGTGTTTGCACAAAACTGAAATATTTTAAGGAGGCTTTGCACTGCATCTTGGCTCTCAATCTCATACTTACACACAACAATTATTAGAACAGCAGCCACTACATTTTTCCCACTTCAGCTAGAAATGCCACAGTCATATGCAAATAATTCATTACCTCACTGATTTCAAAATTTCCTTGCTCGCACTTAGATGAGTGATACTTCGTTAATAAGTTTGAAACTGTTCCCTCTTAGAGCATAAGAAATAGAACAGGAATAGGCTGTTTGGCTCCTGCCATTCAGTAGGATCATGACTGATCCAGTATCCCTCACATCCACTTTCCTGCCCTTTCCTTGTAACCCTTGATTCCCCTACTGATCAAGAATCTACCTATCTCAGCATTAAATATACACAGGGACTGTGCCCCCACAGCTCTCTGTGGCAAGAAATTCCAAAGACTCTCAGCCTTCTGAAGGAAGAAATTCCTCCTCGTCTCATTCTTCATGTGGTGTCCCTTTATTCTGAGACTATGTTGTCTGGTCCTAGACTCTCCCATGAGGGGAAACATTCTCTCAGCATTTACTCTGTCAAGTTCCTCAAGAATCCTATACATTTCAATGAGATCACCTGTCATTCTGCTAAATTCCAGTGAATACAATCCCAACCTGATTAGCCTTTGTCCCTCCATTCATTATATCATCCCAGTGAACCTACTCTGAACTGCCTCTAATGATATCTTTCCTTAAGTATGGGGACCAAAACTGCTCATAGTTGTCCAATGTGGTCTTACCAGCACTTTGTACAGTTGCTGTAAGACTTCCCTACTCTTAAACTCTAACCCCCTTGAAATAAGGGCCAACAAACTGTTAGCCTTCCTGATTACCTGCTGCACACGTGTGCTAGCTTTCTGTGCTTCTGTTGTCCCTTGTTTGCCCTTCCAAAATGAACTCCTTTTTCCGCATTATACTTCATTTGCCAACTTTTTGCTGATTTAACCTATCAATATCTCTCTGTATCTCTCTTGCAACCTGCCTTTTTACCTACTTTGTGTTGCATGCAAATTTGGCTACAATACTTTCACTTCCTTCCTCTAAATTATTAACATGTCATTAATACATATTATAAATAGTTGTGGTCCCAGCCCGGTTCCTGTGGAACCCCACTGGTCATGAGTTGCCAATCTGAAAAAGAACCCCTTATCTCCACTCACTATATCCTGCCCATTAGTCAATTCTCTAAACATGCCAGCACAATACCTCTTATCTCGTAACTTAACTTTTTGTGAGGGACCTTGTTGAACACTTTCTGGTACTCAAAATACAACATATCTACTGGTTCCCCTCTACCTGCTCTAGTTGAAATTTCCTCATAAAACTCTAATAAATTAGATATGATTTCCCTTTCATGAAGCCATGCTGACTTTGCTTGATTAAATTATGAATGTCCAAATGTGCTACTATTATGTCCTTAATAATTAATTTCAAGATTTTTCCAGCAATAGATGTTATGCTAATTGGACTATAGTTACCCACTTTTTGCCTCTCTCCCTTTTTGAATCCTCTGGTACTTCTCCAGAATCCAAGGATTTTTGGAAAATGCATCCACTATCTCCGTAGCTACCTCTTTTCAGATCCTAGGATGCAAGCCATGAGGGCCAGAGGACTTATCTGCGTTTAGCCCCTTTAGTTTGTCTAGTTTCTTTAGTGATGGTACTTAATTCTTCCTCCGGTATTCTGTATTATTAATAGGATGTTCAAAGTATCTTCGACCATAAAGAATTGATGCAAATAATATGTTTGACTCCTCTGCCATTCCCTTGTTCTGCTAAACCATCTCCCCAGATTAATTTTCTAAGGGGCTTATGTTCACATTGACCTCTATCTTCCTTTTCATATATTTAAAGAAATTCTTTTTTCTGATCATCAAATTTTATATTCTTCGCTAGTTTGCCTTCACAGATTTTTTTTCTGTTTTTATTATCTTTTTAGTCCTCCTTTGCTGGATTCTGAATTTATCCGTCTCTTCAGGGCTATCACTGACTTTGGCCTTCATTATATGCTTTCTTTTCCAACTTCATACTCTTCTTTGCAACCTCCCTCTCCAGTTATTACCCTTGTATCCTTTTTCTTCCTTCCCTGCCCATGCAGCCTTCCCTTTCTGCTTCATAACCTCGCAGCCTCCCTGTGTCTCACATTCCCTCACTTGCAGCCTCCCTGTCTCACTTCTATTGCACAGCCCCCTTTACAGCATCCCAGTCTTCCCTATCTAATTGTAACCTATGCATCACCGACTGCTCCATTGGTGGCCTACCTGTTGTCCCCCAGCCACCCCTGCATCCCCACAGAACCCTTGTGTCTTCCCTGTTTTCCCCATCTCCCTTGTGTCCTCTCTGTCTCTCCCTCCACACCCACACCCTGCCCCCTCTCCCTAGTCTCTTTTGTAGCCTGTCTGTCTCTCCCTCCACACCCATCCCTTCTCCCCAGACTGCCTTGTGACTTCTCTGTCTTTCCTTGGCCCCTCATCTCATTCATCAGCACTAGAGAAGTTTTGCAGTTCGATAAAATATTCTTATTATATCTTGGAAACAGAAATTCCAGGCATTTTGTTTATTTGTTCTGTATCTTAATTTTGAATCAACAATGTAATTTAACTCACTAAATTACACTTAATTTTTCACATCTCAAAATTATCCCAAATTCAGATCATACCGTTCTTGTCTGAGCAATTTTCGTTAATGTTTAATTTTTCTTCAAAAGAAAATAATATTTTATCTGATATTCATAGAAACCACTGAGACTGTGTTTTATTGTTTCCCGAGAATTCCTTCCAAACGCAGGTTATTGTTCCATTTAATACTTATTCTTATCCACATAGTGGTATCGAAATGCCTGATACTCGATATTTAGCATATTTACAGTAATTCTCCAGTTCTCTGGCATTTTGTTAACAAATAGCCTAAGTAGGTTCAGGTGATTCTTTTTTGAAATGGTTTTAGTCCATGACAAATGGCATTGAAAGTCTACACAGATTCTTGAGTACTTGAAACTGCTGAAAATCTTGCTGCATTTGCAGTTATCTTAAAAAAAACGCACCTCACATCCATTCTGTTTCACACAGAAAGGGTTAGCCATCCACACATATTTGACAATTTATAAACTTAAATATTATAATGTCCGATATATAACTAAACTGCAAAAACCGAACAGTCAACTGAAGGTACCAGTTAAAATGATTGATTGTCAACTAATCAAAAGATCTTCGATGTAATTAGATTATCACCCTCTTTTTAAGATAAAGCCAACAGCCATGTCTCTTGGATAACAAGGTGTAGAGCTGGATGAACACAGCAGGCCAAGCAGCATCATAGGAGCAGGAAAGCTGATGTTTTGGGCCTAGACCCTTCATCAGAAATGGGGGAGGGGAAGGGGGTTTTGAAATAAATAGGGAGAGGGGGGAGGCGGATAGAAGAAGGATAGAGGAGAAGATAGGTGGAGAGGAGACAGACAGGTCAAAGAGGCGGGGATGGAGCCAGTAAAGGTCAGTGTAGGTGGGGAGGTAGGGATGAGATAGGTCAGTCCAGGGAGGAAGGACAGGTCAAGGGGGCGGGATGAGGTTAGTAGGTAGGAAATGGGGGTGCGGCTTGAGGTGGGAGGAGGGGATAGGTGGGAGGAAGAACAGGTTAGGGAGGCAGGGACGAGCTGGGCTGGTATTGGGATGCGGTAGAGGGAGGGGAGATTTTGAAGCTTGTGAAATCTCCCTATTCATTTCACGCCTCCCCCTCTCTCCCTATTTATTTCAGAAACGCCTCCCCCTCTCTCCCTATTTATTTCAGAACCCCCTTCCCCTCCCCCATTTCTGATGAATGGTCTAGGCCCGAAACGTCAGCCTTCCTGCTCCTATGATGCTGCTTGGCCTGCTGTGTTCATCCAGCCCTGCACCTTGTTATCTCAGATTTTCCAGCATCTGCAGTTCCTACTATCTCTGATACACTAGCCATGTGTCTTGACTTTTTAAACAAAGGCAAAACTTAACACCCTTGTTAGATTGCCTTTTTCTTTGTCTGAAACTCTTTGTCATCTGCTTTCCCAGATTTTAGACATACCTTCAGACAGTATCAAAGATATCACGCATCTAATGTTTAAAAATTCCACTATCTTCTTATTTATTTTCTAAAGTACTGATTTACAGCAATTATTATTTTATTTGAGCATCTATATCTATGAATTTATTCAGAGTTAAAGGTTCACCCTATGCTAACAGTTTGAAAGTTCTCTCTAGCCAAAAAATGTAATTAAACGTAAATTATTCTGAAGTTAAACTTTTACCTTGGCCGTTTTCTTGAACTAAACATATAAAGAATAGTACAACTCTTTCTAAAAGAAAGAACAAAATTATATAATTTGTCTTGGTCCTCTTTCTTTAATTGGCTTTCTTCTCACTGTAATTAAAAACCGAAAAGGTGAATTCTCACAACAAAACTTTTAGTGTTCTGACTCCAAATAAAAGTAACAGAACACTACAACATTACAATCCTTTAATCAATTTGTATTTCACCATAACACTT